CTGGATCCATCTAGTATCAACAGCATCCATCAAATATGAAGATTACGTTGAGTTCTAGACATGGACCTGAAGAAATGAAACACTTCCAGAAAGAGAGGACATCTTACTGCACTGAGTGTCCTCTGCCTGATACTCCATGAAGTTTTCTTGATTATCTCATTTCTTTGCAATATCATTATTCATTGTTCCAATGCCACTGAGGTGCTACGCCTTTCAACAAAAAGACACGAGCTCTCTGTGTGAATACCTAAGGAACGTACACACAGACTTGACAGATACGTTAGGCTGACAGGTTGTCAGAGGCTGTGGTGATCAGCAAATAGAAGAAATATAATAAAATATACAAGGAATGGGCGAGGGGGAATGGCCTTACTCCGTCTAAGCAAACATAAGATTTGAGCTCAATATTTATAAACACCAGAAGGATACAGGCTGTCTTGTTATCCATGGTATTGTCAGTGTCGGTGTGTTGGTAGGTATTTTCGTAGAGGGAAAAGCATGCAAAAGCATGACAGTAGACTTTTAGAATCTGAGACTTTTAAGGATTAGCTGATGCACAAAAGACAAAGATGTTCAGGACAGAGACAAAAAGGAGACACATCACTCGGCACAGACGCATTTGCCCAATTACCTAACTTACAAACATTCATTTACAGAAATTAATTTTGTTCTCTCTCGGAAGCCATGTAGAGATTTGGTTAATCAGTATCAGAGCAGGTGTCAGCGAGTACTTCCTTGACCTTATCAGACAAGCTGCTTTCACTGGAGGGAAACCGCCACAGGTCTTTGCTTCGATCTATGTTTATTTATGGCTGAAGCACCCTTTGTTTAGAATACAGAGATAAAGCATCTTCTCCTGTCCCTAGCGGGCAACTACACATGCTTTACTGAATGCTGATGAAGGTAAGAATTTGTGGTTTTCTTACTAGGTATATATATCAGCATTTATAGAATCATCTTATATCTCTGCTGAGGCTGACCATCCCATTGAGAGGACAATATGCTTAAGATCACCTTTTTTTTTTTTCTTTTTTTCCTGTCTATGCACGGTGCCTAAGGTAACGGAACCTCTGTTCCTACCTTAGCTTTGTACATGCCACTGCAGCATAATCTATGGTTATTGGTACTAGTAGCAAAATGTGATCATGAGAAAATAAACAGAAACATTCAGAGCAAGTATACATTGTAAGAGTAGAAAGCCAGAAATGGCTAGAGGAAAGAAACAAACATATACAAATTTCTACTGATTATTCCATTAAAATAATGACAAAATATAAATCAGAAAGTTATCAATATTGTGATTACGCTATGAGAAGCAAAGGCAGATAAATGACAAATACCAACAGCTATCCTATCTTGTTCCTAAAACATTTATTTTAGAAATAGAAGATCTAGCGGGGGTTACCATTGGGAATCACAGAAATTCTTTAGGTACAATAAAACTCAGAGATTTTGTCCTAACCCCAAATCAAGCCCCGGGGTAACCCTTGCAAAGCAGGGTAATATTTCTCAACCTATTATTTTTCATTCTGCCCAAATTTCTGGATAAGACCAAAATACCCCAATGAAAGCTGTACTTGTGTATTTCCAGCTCAGCTGGAAATAGAATATCATGGGGAAAGTATGCTATTGTCAAATTTTCAGTTCAATGTCATGAAGTTCTGGTAAGAAAGATAATAATCTAAACTACAGTGTTTACTTACACTGTATTGAACAACCTGCCAATGTCAATCATCATTACCTAAATTTAGTCAGGATTTCCTAATATAAATATCAAAAATTAAAGTAATTTGAATTCTGTTAGTAACTTTGTATGATTTTATTGCTTATTATAGATGAAAAATGCATCAATTGTACTCAAATATTGCCCTATGACATTGACTGGAATGAGGCATCTATTTTTTAAAGTACATATATACAGCAAAAGACTACAGCTATGGCAATGAGTGCACAAACCATACAAAAAAAGATAATAGAAAAGATGTATTAGTTCCCCCACGGTGGACAAACACGAGTAGGTTGCAGCCCACCTCCTGCAATAAAGCAAAAAATCCACCTTTCTTTTTAATACAAGTTCTAGAAGAGAAAACATAGTATAGATCCAGAGAGCTGTGAATTAGGACAAACACAAGGCTAAAAATGATGCCTAGACTTCAGCAAATTTGTCAAATACTTTGATTGAGGTTGAGAATATGCGTCCAAATGGGTATACAGGAAGCAATCATTTTTTCATGAAGAATACGTGCTTTACTGTGCACACAAATTCTTCCTTCAGAAGGCTGTAAATTACAGTATTTATGGAATCTTAATGATCTAAACACAGTTGGAGCCTGAAGGTCAAGGCTGCAAACTGCATCCTAAATTTCTGTTTACAGATGAAGCATAGTATTTATTGCTGCACTGCTTGCGCTGCTATAGTTAAAGGGCTGCCAGCATTTCCATTATAAACCACTATTTCAGGGGTTTATAACTTGCCCATCAATCTTCCGACTGGGATGAAACATGGCATACAAGGTCCTGGCTGTGAGACTGATTTTTTGTTTGTTTTCTTTACCAAATTACAAAAAGAAAAGCTTAAAGTTACACAAGCAAAAAAAAAAAAAAAAAGTACATCAGGTTTTTCAAGTACTTCTAGTGTTCCTGTGATACCATTATAGCTTCAGAACACAAAATAGATTCATATAACTGCATCAATTAGTAGAAGGACTTTCGATCCCTAAAAAGTGTAAAGTAACCCAAACAAAGACACATTGCTAGGTGCTTCTTTTTGAAAAGAAACGGTACTGCAGATTTTTAATGTCAGGAAAGGAATTGAATTCTATTTGCATCAAAGGTAAATCTACACTACAATTACACACGTTGGCACAGTACAAAGAATGCATTCTTTTTAAATAAGTATCTAAATAATGACACATAAGGCGTACTTTACTGTTATATACTCCAGATGATGTTAGGTAAAATAGTTCAGAGTAAAGTCAAATCCAATGTTTTCCCACAAGCTCTAAAGTAACCTTATCATCTACTCTTATTGTATCAGAAGTAATGAAATCAGGAGGGGAAAAATTACAAAATTTTCACTTCCACGCTGTCTACTTTGCCAGTGTGAGTACTGCACTCTGTGCTGAAGTACTGCCGAGAGCAGGAAGCTGAAAAATTTAATTCATGTTATACCTGCATATCTAGCAATTACATCTTGGTGAATAACACACTTAATACTGCAAACACTGCAAGAATTTAAATATTAGAAGAACTCAAAAAACCCTGTTATTGGAATCCTAAGTTTTGGTATAATTTATTTTTACAAATAAAGAACTGGGCCAGATTCCACAATGTGCCTTTGTGATGCAAGGCAGACACATTACATTACGTTAAGCAGTTTTATGGCTCCTTTGCAACACCACACCAGTTCAGACAAGAAAGACAGCAGTGCTAAGCCTGGAATATTAGACCTCATTTAATTGCATTTTGGTTTATTTCTTTCTATTATAAATCCGGTCGCAGCAGGCATGAAGTAAGTTAGTCCCTCCCCAAATACCATTATTATATTTTCTTTATTATAGCTGTAGGGGTTTTATTCACTGACACTGTTGAGTTCACCACAACTACCTTTTTTTTTTCCCCCTTTTAATTTTGTTAAAAGATGACTGCATTTGTTTTATGCCATTCCTAATGCTTGGAAGAATCTCTTCCTCCTGATGCTGTAGCTTTCTGCTTTTCTTCCAAAGTCTGCCTCTACCATCTGTCTATTTTGTGCCCACTTGAGACAATCACTTGCACAAGACATTTGACAGCTTTTCCCATCAACTGCAACAAAGTACTGCTTTGTTACTTTAGTTCTGGTTGCAAGTACATTTATATTCCTACATAACATAGATGCCTTATTCACTTCTGTGTCCTGGCCTCTGCCTGTCTCCTGTGTATGTCAGTCCACTTCCAAGCTCTCTTTTTTGAGTATGCCAACCAGTTTCCCCTAAAGTAAAACCTGGGTATGGCTTTAGGGAGAGTTTTACTTGGGGAAGCCTCCTAATGGGCAGTATGGATGAGCCGTTGGCTACCTTCAGCCGCAGAGTCCTTCAAAATAATCCCAGTAGGCCTGGTGAAGTCAAACCACCCACACATGCCCACACTCTATAGCCCAGGGCATTCAAAACACATCCTCGGGGTGAAGCTATAAAACACTGCGTTGATGGGCTGCAATACAGTGCTTCAGACAGTTTGTACTGAAGCACATGCACACGCTTTATTACTTCTCCTAAACAGCCAGAGGACCGGGCATTACTCAGGGCAGGCTTGGACAATTCTTGCTTTTCAAACTTTTTTTAAGCTACTGATTGCCATAAGGCTTTCTTGTAGAGGAATCTATGGTGAGAGATATAGACATGCAGACTTCTTTCTTGGAAAGTGAAAGATGGAGCAATTATGACATCTTAAAATCAACCTGGGTAGTGCACCTGAATACATATTGAAGAATAATTCTAACTGGAGACAAGGTCTTATGAATGGTGACTGACTAAGGCCCTCTCATTCACTCCACTGTGCTGCCTTTGACGGGTTGATATGCACCCAAGAACGATGCTATATAATTAAATATGTTAAATAATGCTACACAGTATCTTGTATAATTCTGAATCTTCACTGAACTGTAAAAAGTTTTAAATAAAATATAGGTGGAGCTTGTCGAGCAGTATTAGACTTCAAAATATTTTCTTCTTCCGAAAGCTTACTGTACCGTCTAACACAAGTATCTGTCATGCTGCCTGAGTTGCCGTACATCTTGTTAGCAGTGATGTCATGACAGAAATGCTACAGTGCTGCATCCTAATGACCTCTTGTACTGTAATGAATTAATGTTTGCTGCAGAAAGAATGAGATAGGAAAAACCAGCTTTCGTCTTGGATACTCACTGAGATATTTTTTTTAAAAGAGCATGACAGTTTTCAAAACCAAGCAATGCGAGATTACCATTTTAGCTCAAATGAAGAACGCGTTGAATACTGTACCTGTAAAGTCCTGGGGGAGCTCGATGAACCAGGAAGCTTTTCTCCAAGCTTTGTAGCACATCATTGAGCATCCTGACTCTGATAGGAGCTCGCTCCTTGGGGTCATTAGCTGGGCGCATCTCATCTGATTGGAACAGTTCTGCGGTGTCCCTCAGACGTGATGCCACTGCAAGCAACTGAGGAACGTATACTTCATCACCTAGGAATAGTAAGAGAAAGGCAGTTGCCAGTGATTCAGAGAACATCACTTATTACTCTTGCTTACAAGCCAAAATTAATAGTCCAATTAAAACCTGAGCCTCTTTTCCCTTGTGAGAATTATGTAATGGATCAAGGAAAGCCATAGATCATTGTGCATAAGCTCTGATCTGTTTTTCAAAGAATATCAATTTGGGCTGTGATGTTTTGAGATCTAATAAGCTATGAGGAATGATTTTGGGGTACAGCTTGAAATCTACCATTGGAAAAACAGGCACGCAGGAAGCAATGGTTATAAATTAGTAACTGTAAAATTTCCTTCTGAGACAGAATTTATTCAATGCCATTTGATGCTACTGCTCTCAAGTTTGAAAGCTTGTGCTTAGATTCCATCATGACTGCTGTATAGAAGATTGTAACATGCACAATTTAATTGAATTTTGTTCAACATTTTAGAATCCTAGAGGTTAACAACAGTTGTAGAGGGGATGTGAAATTGTTCCTCTTAATCACTTAAATCATATGCCAATGAGCCAACTAACACTTTAACTGATATCCAAATGTATATTCTAATCCAGTCAGTATTTTCAAAACTTTTTAAACTTGGAGCGTTAACTGTTACTTTGTTTGCCATTTCTCCTACACAGACACCAAGAGTAAAAGCCCACAGCACTTTGGAGCACACCACGACTTTGATATTTCCCTGTTCATAGCCCAGAAAGAAGAATGTGATGCGTGAATTGGAGCGTTGTGAATGTGCAGTGTATTCCAACCTGCAGCGCAGGTGAAGAGCATGCCCTCCTTTCCCAGTGCGCGCATAAACTTTGTTAATTTTTACAAGCACGTGGAGAGAGAAAGCAGAGTCTGAACCTGATATAAAGTCAAAAGTAACATCAGTCAGCAAAAACATTTCCAGGATGCAGAAATGATCTTTAAGGCCAAGATTCACTTTGCCTATTAAGGACAAGGAAATCAACTATCCTCAGATCTTTCAAATGATGATTTGATCAAAACAAACCATTCAGCTTTAGAAGCTGTCTCACCTTTAGTTGAATGCACAAACCTCAGTGAATTCAGTATCTTAGTGACGAGATAACTAACCTGGCAAGGTGGTTCAAGACACAAGTTAAATGGATACTAAAGTTCCTTGTCTAATAGATATATGGAGGGATCAGAAATAGTAAATGGAGAACATCAACCCATTTCTCAAACTATTTATCGAGTCTGAAAGGTGAGCATATAACAGGAATGGAAAAGCAAATAGGTACAACTAAGAAATTCAAGGAAACACCTGAATATGACATATTCTCCCTCTCATATGGGAAAAGATATTTGCTATTGGATACATTTCAGCAAAAGGAAAGGAGTTCATAGATCCCCATGCGCTCCTGTCATTCAGCTGACTAATGCATTCCAATCTAGCAAAACACGAAATGATCCAAAGTACATGGAGAGACAGATGCTGGTGTGAGAGAAACTGTCAGATTTTCTGAGTTATCAAGATGAATTTCAACAATGAACAGAAGCTTCCTGTGGGACCAGGAGTGAGAGAAGATGGTTTATGTCTGTCTTGGTTTGGGACAAGTTGTTTTGTCAATGGCTCTTGCCCAATCCACCTCTCCCTAAGTAGAACAGGTAACAGGCACTCTAGTATCTTGATGCACGGGACTGGAATCTTTCTGATTGAGTCTGGAGTAATTTAAAGTCTGATTAAGTTAGGTTGATGCCTCAGAAAAATATTCTCCAAGCAGATTAATTTGGTACATTTGGGATATTTTGCAAAATAGCAGTATCCGCGATTTTCAAATCCAGGCAAACATCCTGTGCAGCTGAGGAACTTGCGATTTCCATGCATATAATTCAGGCACTGTGCATACCTTACCCTGGGACTTGTGTCAGTATGGAAAGGTTTAAATTCACCCTGTCAGAAAGAATCCTTCGGTTTCAGCAAAGCCCTTCATATTCCAAGTAACATACAACATTTATTATTTTTATTCTGAATATTATATAAACAATTGGAAATATCAGCTGTGCCTTTTCAGTAGGGAAGGTGAGATAAAGGGAAAATACATCATTCTATATTTGGAAATGAAGGCAACCAGACCACCTTTTTAAACATAAAAATCCTGTAAATGCTCTCACTCCTTCTCCACAAGCATGCATTTTGCCCCTAAACCAACTACATTTTCCTTTACAGTCATGAATAAAAAGCACTGTTTACATCACACTCTAAACGAGCAGTCATTATGAAACAAACACCCAGGCCCTTTTTTAATACTTCAGTACAAAACCTGCAAGTGTCTATGGCTAGCGTTACCCCAGAGAACTAAGGGCATAGCTTTAAGGGCATCAGTAGTTTTTACCACAACACACTGAACTTCGCTGCCAAGGGAAGCTGTGATTTATGCTTTTCTCAAGTTGAGAAGCTGGGACTGGAAGGGCAAATGATTCTTAAAGAAAAGGATGCTTTAACTAATAATGTCTTAAACATCTTGTGATGCTTCTACAGAGAAAATAAAAGAAAATCTGCAAGCGTTACTTTACTCAAGAGAAAACAACACCACATTATTATACTTTGTATTCTTTGTCCTTTTGTCTCCAGTATGAATCATGATGAATCATCTAAGCTCGTTGTTTAGTTGTTAAATAAATAAAATTGCAAGTACAAGAAAGTGACTCAAGAGTATGTGTACTCTTGATCAGAGAATTATACTGTTGAATTTCATTACACTTGCCAAATGTAACTGGATTTTATTCAGAAACAGGTTACACCAAATAGATATTTATTTTTACAGACATTGAATACAATAGCCTTTCCCTGTGTAACTGATTGCTCTTATGAAAAGTACTGCTAGGGATTTAACATTTTAAAATTGTGTTTGTGCCCTCTGGTATGAATGTACTTGCCTACCAGTACCTACAGGAGAATGAGCACAGACAGCTCAGCAGTTTAAGGCATGACGCTCGCTCTCCATGCATGTGAACATGTGTTTGCATGTAAGAGAGAGGGGAAATTGCTTCAGGTTTTGATAAGCTCACACTGTCACGATCAGCTATGGTGTGTTGTATTCACTAGGAAGACTTTTCATGCTGTGCAAAAGTGGATGATCATACCTGGCACTGGAAAATCTGAATGCAAAAGCTTTCTAGAAAGTAACCTAAAGAGGGCAGAAACACAAATGCATAGACATCCTCAGCACAAAGAATATGTTGCCATCAGGTTCAATTTTGCTACCACGACTGCTACTGCCCAAGCAAACTAATTTGATGTTGCTACAGCAAGCCTCTTTTCCAAGAGGCTATCATTAAAAAGGCATGTAGTGACACACTGTTATGCATGTCAGTACAGAGGAAGTTATCAATGACTTCGTACAGAGCTGCTGAAACATATATGGCCTACTGTCACAGAATAGATGCTCATCCTTTCCCTTCAGTACCAAATGCTTTCTTCATGGAAAATGCGTTTTTCCATGATTTTTTTTTTTAAAGGCTGATGAAAGGTTTGCCAGTACTAATACATGATATCTTGAAAGGATACTGAAGGCAAGATGTTAGTGTCTCATGGCAAAGAAGGTGTTTCTATCATATATACAGAAAACTAACTGTTCCATTTTTCACCTCTGTAGCAGTCACAAATAATGGGTGGAACAATAAAAAAGAAAGCTTTCTGAACATTACGGACAGGTGGGGAAAGTAACTCTGAAAAGCACCCTAAATGATCAGGGAAACACGGTCAAGCAGGTAAAACGATGCCAAGCTGAAGACTAGCAGATAGCTGTAGGCAAGCTGTATGCAGCCATCAAGTAAATGACAGAGATATGTTTCTGTATTGATTTTTCTAAGGACAGAGAGTTTAGGCTGATGTTTTGAAATGTATGGGTTGAGCCACGGCTGTGGAAAGTCATGCAGACTTTCCTGGAGATGGCTTATCATGAAACAGATTATTTTAAAATTTCTACTAGCACTGACTACTATTATCACCCCAAGTACTTCATCTGCTGTAACATCTGTAAAACATCCATTCTGGGGAGAAGAAAGGGCCTAACTGATAGGAAGCAACACACAACTGACACTGTGTCAGCCAAAGAGCTCGAAATCACAGCCCTTGCCCTCCCTATACAGGGAAAACCAGAAAATCTCACCCCCAGTTAACTTAATTTGTCTTCATAGGCCTCTCTCAGCCAGTACCTATCAGAGATGGCTTACAGCTTATCCAATTTGCTTACCAGCTTCAGCAGCCTGTGATGAAAGCCACAACTAGGGAATCCTAGCACGTGTGCCTAGTGCTACTCAGCCACAATGTAAGGCTGGGGCAGCAGATACCAATTTTTGAAAGGTCTGCATGAGTCTAGGTGGGCCCAGTGACCTGCAATAATGAAACAATATCAGCTTCTACCCCCAACAGCACCTAAGTGACAGACATGGCTAGCACCGAACCTGGTTGCCTTTATTTTTGTGTGATGGTGTGATTGAACTTGTTATTGCTGAGTCAGTCAGGTGCAAAGGTACAGAAAGGCTTTTGATCCTAATGAGACACTTTAACACTTCCATCATCAATCCTGAAACTTGCTCTAATACACACTAAGTTTCAAGGAGGCTGAAATACAGCGCAAGATAGGCTACAAGGAGCAAGTCCAGACTGCACAGTACTAAAAGTGTTCAGCGGACGATACGAATATGTTTTGAATAAAAATGCTTATATACATAAAAAATACATATATACAAATGCTTATACATTTGTACTTGCATATACATACAAAATGCTTCTATAGGAGTGCTTAAAAGAACCATTTGTATCATTCACGCACCAGATTTGACATCTTGTCTGCACTGTACCTCAAAAGATAAATTGGGTTTTCATAGCATGCAAGGCCTAGCAAGATATTCTTGTATGTGATTCAAGTTGCAGTGGGTCTTGATTTTAGACATACGAAAGGCACAAACACCGCACAACTGCAATGTGTAGTTAATGAAAATATTTTACACTCCTACCTATTTATGAAT